AGAGTAGAGTAGAGTAGAGTAGAGTAGAGTAGAGTAGAGTAGAGTAGAGTAGAACAGAACAGAACAGAACAGAATAGAATTCTTTATTGGCAAAGTGTGATTGGACACACAAAGGATTTGTCTTGGTGCATATGCTCTCAGTGTACATAAAAGAAAAGATACATTCATCAAGAATCACAAGGTACAACACTTAATAATAGCCATAGGGTACAATAAGAAATCAAATCATACTAGGAAACAGTCAATATAAATCGTAAGGATACAAGCAACAAAGTTATAGTCTTACAGTCACGAGTGGGAGGGGATGGGTGATGAGAAGATTAATAGTAATAGTAATGCAGGCTTTGTAAATAGTTGGACAATGTTGAGGGAATTATTTGTTTAGCAGAGTGATGGCGTTTGGGGAAAAACTGTCCGTGTGTCTTGTTGTTCTGATGTGCTGTGCTCTGTAGCATCATTTTGAGGGAAGGAGTTGAAACAGTTTATGTCCAGGATGTGAGGGGTCTGTAAATATTTTCACAGCCCTTTTTTTGACTCGTGCAGTATACAGGTCCTTGTTTGAAGGCAGGTTAGTAGTAATTGTTTTTTCTGCAGTCCTAATTACTCTGTATATTATATATCAGTTTAATATATTCTTATGTGCTTTCACTTTATGAGTAAAGTAAATCATAGATACCAGAGCAAAGAACAGGTTACAATGTGTATAAATGCAGAATTCAATGTAGTTAGTACTTTTAAGTGCACTTCTTTATAAAAGCTGCCAGTAGGATTTGAATTATAGATAGCTCTGGGTAATATTGAGACATACTCTGTCTCATGGTAGCGTAACTTTTAGTTTATATCTCAGACAATCAAATATATGTCAGCAACAGTTTTCAGCCTTCATTTTCCCATTATGGTATTCCAGCTATTCTTGTAATAAATAGCCAGGCTGTACTTCCAATCACATACAAGGATATCAGATTCATAATTAGAAATGTTTTTATATCAATCAATGTACAAGTATTTCTTGCACACAAAGATATATTTTTTTTAAAAAAGGTAAATGAAACAAAAGCTGATATTTGAAATTTCTTGACAACTATCATATTTTTTACATAAGGGAATTCATTTTGTTTGAATAAATTAATTTTGCTGAGAAGAAATAGTGTTCTGATAAGTTCTTAATACTTTTAGATATCCCTTCATACTTCATATCATAGAACATTCCCATCTCAAGTCAATAGTACAATGGCTTAAACTGTATTATATGTTTACCTTGTGCTAAGTGACAATGTTTTATATGTTAGTTGATAATAAGTATGTAAATATTTTAATAAGTCAAAGATCTTTATTAGAAATAGATATGGACATTTTAAAATCGTAATTGATAAAACTTTTATATTAATCCCTACAGAAAGTGAACAACATGATCTATCAGAAAATGGATCAGGAATTGTGAATCAGCAACCGGTAAACTTATTGGGAACAGAATATAACAGTCCTTTTTCAGACCTGGATCAATTAACTCGAAGCAGTAGTACCTCTGATATTAGAGATCAATGCAGTTCTGATATTTTCCAAGGTAATCTAGGAATACTTTGAGAAAGAATTATTTTCATATGCTGTATGTAACAACATCTGAAACATTATTCATGCCATATACTAAATTTACTTACTATATGCCATTTTCTGTCTTCTGTTATTTACAGTTCTGTCCAAGCGTTTTAAAAATACAGTTTATTTATTAATTTTTATAGTAACAATGGTTTAAAAGTTCATTTTTTACATTTATATTTCAGTAAGACTGATAGCAATTTTTAATTATAGCCCATTTATATAAAACATACACTAACATTATAGAATTACTCATATTTAAACAGATTTCCTTATTGGAGTAGAAATATCCCAGTTTACAAGGCAAAAACCCAAGATATAAAAAGCAAAACAAATCAAAATTTTATTACAATCATATACCAACATATATATTATTATATTTTTATCTCACCTTTTTAATATATTGTATAACCGAAGATGGCAAAGAACAGTCCTCTGAGATGGATTGGGCTGAGAGAGTGTGTCTGGTCCAAAGTTATGCAGCTGGCTTTCCTGGCCTTCTGGTTTCTAGGCCAACACCTTCATCTCTACATCAAACTGACTCTTTGAAAAGGATGCCAAAACAGAAGAAACATTTTAATCAGCCATGTTATAAATGACTTTTTATAAATCAGCATCCTTAATATTTAGCAGGTTTGCAGTCATTTGGAAACCATTACATTATGCAAGATCTCAGTATTCAGTGATCATATATTTTATGTAGTATTTTTGAAACGCCAGAAGGCAATAACTGCTGTGTTTGAAAGCCAGCTCTTTTCCTAAATACATAATGTGACTTTGCAGTTTGCAAAGTAACTAACCTCAGTACTAATTACTATTTTTTTTTAAAAAAACCTTTAAAAATGAATACACTACATTTTATTTATATATTTATGATCATTAATATTTATATATTTATGATCAATAATTAATTAAATAATTAATATGTTTAATGCATGCTGTTAAGTTTATTATGTAAATATGCACACATACATTTTTATAACATAAAGTTGTATATTTTAAATAATAAAATAAACATATTCAAATAAATTTATTAATTTTGTAATCCATAACATTTCACTCATACTTCACAGTTAGAAAAACAGAGAGTTCACAAAATTTAACTTCAGGATCCAGATCTGTTCAAAAAAATAAGGAGACCATGAATAAGGAAAGTACACTACAAGAAGTAAGTACAAATAGGATCACAATGTATATTAAAATAAGACATGTTTAAACTTCATTATATTAAAATAATGTATTGTGCTGTTATGCTATGTTTTATGTTAACAATGGACAATGTAAATAATGGAAACATGTGAAAAAATGTAGAACTAAGAGAAATATAAAATATTTTTTTATATCTTAGGGTTTCCCAAAGTATATGGAACATATTCAGTTACAGAATAATGGTGAAGTTTAAATTTTAATTTATTAAATATGTATAACCATAGCCCACAAAATACATTAACATTACAAATATTTAAAGTAGAATTAAAACAGAACTTAATACAATACTGACCCATACCTACCATGGTTTAATTTCCATTTATTTAGATAAACCTTTCTGCAGTTAATGTAAGTAGGGTTACAGCCTATAGTTGTTTAAAATAAGATGAAAGATTTTTTTTTAAATCATCTGAACTGAGAGAGCCCACATCTTTTCAATATATGTCTCACAGGCTGATAAATATAATTAAAGATATAAAAGCTTATTGGGTAAATGTTCAGTCTGAAAAGGGAAGAACAGGAATGCGTAGCTATCTACCCTCCATCGCTGTTGAAGGCATAGTTTGCAGTTTTAAAATTGAATGTTTGCCAGGCTAGGTGAATTAAATACTTCTTTAATGGTTCAGTTTTAGACTGCTGCATCAGGGCCAGAACCCCTCATCAGCATATACCTGGACTGGCCCCAATAAGAAATCATGCCTTTCCTATTAAAAAATCATTGCTGTGAAAAATATACAAAAAGTTTTAAAACTCTGTTTCATTGCAATTAGATAATGTTGGGTTTGACAAGAACAGAATTTGACACCTTACAGCAGCTAAACATAGTGTTATCAGTTCTCTTTTTTTTTACATATACAGACATTCACATGTCCTTTTTTCTTTTATTTTTTATCCCTGTTAATTATTTTAACAATTTTTACTGTCCTTTTCATCTCTGACCATAGAACAAATAAATGAAATCAAATAATTAAGGCATAATGTCTAATATTATAAAGTTTATACAATAATAGTGTGTAAAATTGATCAGTGCTTTGAAGGAGACAACTTACCAAGCTATATTGCTATTATATTAATATGTAAAACATTTTTTCACAAAATCATACAGGCAAGCAACATTGCATCTGAATTAAATCTTAAGACAGACGTACCCCAGTTACATGGAAATCAGAAAGAGAAAGAAAAGTGTGAGTTTTTCAGAAAAATCACTTTATTGAAATGATTGATGAAATAGAATATACTGATGTCACCAGATTCATATAGTAAAACATTTTCTGTTTTAATTACTTCAGTCATATTTTCAGATTGTATTACTATATTTTATATATCACTTTTTTATTTAGGTGAAAGTATTAGCAGTGATACTTCTATTGGATACAGTAATGAAATGGGCATGAGTTTGGCTTCCTGGCAAACATGTGAAGAAAATAATGATATCTCCATGCATGCAGACATTTCTGACGATCCAGATGCCCATCAGTGGTTGGTTACCAATTTCTCAGGTATGCAGTCTTAAAAGGGAAAGATAAGCTGAGTGGATATTAATCATAACATTACACTTCAGCTAAGGAAACTGAGTTATGAAATGGTTGAGCTTTCTATCATCTTGTTTGTAGATAAAACAAAAGACATGACATCTTCATTCATTCATTCCATCCTCAGAGCCTTACACCAGCTCTTCTGCTTTGCCTTCCCTAGTGATTAGTCCTTTCACTTCTTCTCAGACATGGGAACATATATGGTATTGTCCAGAGGTGCTATTCAACCGGTTTGCACCTATTCGGGAGAACCGGTAGCAGTGATTTTGCGTGGGTCGCAAAACTGACAGCGACCCCTGGCTGGCCACGCCCCTGAACTGGGTCGCCGGGTCACCCGCTTGTCCCAGTCGCTCTCCTAGCTTTCCCTACCACGTGGTGGCCATGGCGCAGCTCAGACAGATGTCCCAGGGCTGCAGCTGCTACACATGCACTATGCATGTGCAACAGCCCCGGGACATCCGTCTACCTGCCTGCCCTCCCGGAGCACATTTTCTGCCTTCTCCCGGCTGACGTGCCTCTTCCAGCCCAGCCCTGCCCGGCCAGTCAGCAGGTAGGTGGGCGGGCGGATGTCCCAGGGCTTCTCGCCGCCTTTGTCCTGATATGCCTGCAGCAGCCCCTCGGGCCGGCTAAGCCGGGAGCCGCCGTTCACAGGCTTCTACTCTCCCGTGCTTGGTCAACACCTCTTCACCTTGCCTGAAGCGGCTGGTCCTCCTGCCCCTAACTCTCCCCTCCCTCGCCTGGCCTGAGAAGGTAAGGGTGACGGCAGGGGATAGCGAAGTGGCCGGGTCCCTATCTTCCCCTCTCTCCCACTCTGTGTGTGTGTGTGTGTCTCCCTCAAAGCCACAGCTGGGCTTTCCTTGGTGCTCTTTGCTATTTTCATTTCTTCTTTTTGGAATCAAGACTGGCTGAACAAGGATCGCCAGCCGCTGCTGGAAGCATCTCTTCGGGTGACCCATCTCCCCCTCCCCCTCCTCTTGCAACTGGCAGCTGTGGCAGGGCCGGGAAGATGGTGTGCACACCCAAGGAGGAGAAGGAGGGGGGGATGGGTTACCCGAAGGGATGCTTCCAGCACGGCTGGCGATCCTTGTTCAGCCAGTCTTGATTCTAAAAAAAAGAAATGCAAAGAGCAAAGAGCACCAAGGAAAGCCCAGCCGTGGCTTTGAGGGAGAGACACACAGACACACACACGGAGAGAGAGTGGGGGGAAGAGAGGGGAAGATAGGGAAGAGCGCTTGGCCACCCGTGGCTTTGAGAGCGAGAGAGAGAGGGGAAAAAGAGGTAAAGAAAGAAAAAGAGGGAATGAGAGAGGAAACGCCCCTTGACATGAGTGATGTCGGGTTGGCCATGCCCACCCAGTCACATGACCACCAAGCCACGCCCACCAAATAAGCCACACCCACAGAACCAGTAGTAAAAAAAAATGAATTCCACCACTGGTATTGTCATATTTCTTAAATGCCTAAACTGTATTAACTTTAATATATGTAATAGAAGAGCGAATGTCTGTATATGTGTAAACTTTTATTTTTGCATATACTTTTCCATTGATACAATAATACCCTCCAAAGTGAGATGTAGCTTTGCATACCTTGATTGGTTTTTAGGTATAGGATCAAGGTGTTTTTTTCTCCTGGGAATTTTAATCAGTGTGTTAATGTTTAACATGCTGATGTTCATAAACATTTTATTCAAGCTGCTGCATTTAAGGTTTTATTATCTTTATCATCTACATTTTTCTTATTCTATATTTCAATTGCTCTAGAAGTTTGTATGATTTTATTCCAATATAACTAAATGGGAAACCCGGTTTCTTTTTTTTTTAAATTGTTTTTATATCATCATTATAAAATATGTATATAATTTCAATAAAGTATTTAAGCATTATTGATGGTATAAAAGTCTATTTTTATACCTTCACAGTTAGAAAAAATGAAATTTATATCTTTGTATCTTGGTTTCTAATTTACCCCTGTAAAAGTTTATATTGGCTGTGTTTTATAATGTATTCTATCTATGGGAATAATTCTTGCTTAAATTTGGTTAAACTCATCAGATGTTTAACCAAGTTTAAAGCAAGAATGGTTCTCATAGATAGAATACATTATTCAGCAATAACATATATGTTGTTAATTTTTCCATTCTTGTATATTCTCTGAGTTTAAGTTCCCAATCAGATATTGTTACAATTCTATCTTTCTTCTAGTTTTGGACAACATTTAATAATTGTTTCAATAAGCATAAATATCAGTAAATTATGATGTTTTCTGGGATTACAGCTAGTAAGAAAAATGTGATTTCCAAACTTCATTAGAAAAGGAACTATGACACCAATCATAAATTGAGCTTGTGACTATTCCCTCATCTCCAAATGCTGTCTTTGTAGTGTCCTCATGAGGAGCAACTGTCTGGAGCTGAGTGATCTCCTGTCCTCTCCTTATTCAAAGAGCCGGTCTACTCACTGGCTTTTGTGGAGCCATCTTCAGTCCACCACTTTTTCCTCCAAAGTCCCAAAAAGGATATTATGAATGTTTCTTTCACATAAAATGTTGTGTCCATTTTATCATGCAGTATTTTTGTTTCTTCTGTATTTCTGTTTTTTTTTTTTTAATTTAAATAAATAAAATTTGATACTTTTTCTCTTTTTGCACACACGTTAAAAAAGCTAATTGAAACCATTCTTTCTTCTAGACAGCAATGAATTCCTTGCTGATGATTGTAGCATAATTGCTGGTGGCACTCTTACTGGATGGCATCCTGACTCTGCAGCTGTACTATGGAGAAGAACATTAGGAATTCTTGGAGATGTAAACGATATCCAGTCTCCTAAAATACATGCCAGAGTTGTTGAATATCTCTTTGAGTTATGGCACAAATTAGCAAAGGTGAGGTTGAACGTTATGGTGAATTTACTGGAGATAAGCAAATAAACATTGTATAATATTCAAATCAAATGAAATTTTTAATATTTTAAAATACTCTTAATAACCCAATTTATTAAGTCTTCAACGGTTGATTAGGCTGCCGGAATTCTGTTGGAATGAAATAAATGTTTTAGCTGATTCCTAATTTAGAGTTCCTGAAAAAACATTAATAGAATAATTTAATGGTAGAAATAATATGAAAATGATATGTTAAAATTAATAGATTATAGTAGATATGCAATATTAAGGGATAATGGTGGATTCAAGTTATTGTTATGACTATTCATAGCTTCATAAGGTCCCCCTCTTACATTAAACATGTGCTACTTAGCCACAAGTTAATCTTCATGGCATGATGAAGGCCATACTCCCAAAATGGGCACACATTTGGAAAGTTTCAAGCTGTCAAATGAATGTCTTGACTATCTGCAGTAAGCCACCCAAAATGCACATAAGTAACCTCCCCTTCCCCCCCCCCCCCCCCCCCCCCCCCGTTAAAAAAACAGGCTAACTTGCTAGATGTAGTCCCAAAGCCAAACATTTTGGAGCCCTGTATTTTAGCTAGTGTGATGATATAATTAGCAAACAAAATGTTGCTGAAGAATTATATGGTCTCCAATAGCAGACATTTGCTGAACAAATAAACTGGACTAAATAAGGAATAAATGAACTAAAATCCAGCAATATCTAGAACGCGATGGATTCTCCACCATTCTACTAATGTGTTTAGGGCAATTTTAATGTATATTTCTTTGTGACAAGCTAATGGAACTTGTTCCATAGAAAATGATGTTTGTGCTGTCCAGAACAATGTTTGCAAATAACTCCTCCAGTTTCAGAACCCTGTTCATCACAGAATAATGATGAAAACAGGCAATACAAGAAATACATATTTAATATTCCATTGATTTCCTGTAAAATGAAACAAAGAAAGAACATGCATAGACCACCTCATGTCTTGGTCTCATCAGCTAAATTTATTCAAATCAACTAGAAAATAACTTTGAGAAACAATATTTTGCATGTAAATGTTTAAGAACAATGCAACTAACTTTATGAGGCTGATGAAATTTAAAACACTTAAATTGTTTCTTGTTTATTTGTTTTAGATAAGAGACAATCTAGCAGTAAGTCTGGATAACCAGTCTACTCCATCCCCTCCTGTTTTAATTCCACCACTTAGAATATTTGCATCATGGTTGTTCAAGGTAAGTGTTCATTTGCTTTTGCATGAAATGCAAACAGTTTATGGATAGACTTGGAATAGAGGAAAAATATTTTATTGCCACACAAGATGCCCTGCTTGGAATTTTCCCTGTTTTTAGTCTTTTGTGTTCCAGGTAAAGAAAGTCAGAAACATTTTGAATAGTCCATAAGAAGTGTGCATGACAGAGAAAATGTGTTTCTGTTTTAAATTGGATAAAGTAGCCTTACTCAACATGTTCTGAGTCAGCTGTATCCTAATAAAGGTACTACTCTGTCATACTGAGTGATCCATGCTTCAAACAGAAAACTCCTCACAACTTTCTGAATCTTCCAACCAGATAATATAATGAGAACTCAAAAGACCTCCCAAAATAGTTGGAGTAGGAGCTGACTGCTTCTACCGTGCAATCTAAAAAAAAATGGGCATATTTTGTTAAAATAAAATAAATTTTAATTTATTTTTATTAATACCCAATGGAAGCAGCAGTTGTAATATAATAGCTTTTTAAAAAAGTGGTCTACTTACCACAAATCCAGAAACCAATCTATTTGTATTAGGTATGATTTGAAAAAAATAAAAAGTTCAATTATTTCCTTAGTTATACCAGTTCCAATGAAAATATACTGCTAACCACTGTAGCATGAAGATGATATTCTGTACTCAAACGAAAAGTTAACAAAGCCAATACCTGTACAGGTAGTCTTCAACTTATGACTACAGTTGAGCCCAAAATTTCTGTTGCTCAGCAAGACATTTGTTAAGTGAATTTTGCCCCATTTTATTACCTTTCTTGTCACAGTTGTTAATTGAATCGCTGCAGTTGTTAGGTTAATAACACAGTTGTTAAGTGAATGTGGCTTCCCTATTGACTTTACTTATCAGAAGTAAAAATGAATTTTGATCACGTGACTATGAAAATGCTGCAAAGGTCATAAGTGTGAAACACAGCCATAAGCCACATTTTCCAGTGCCATTATAACTTTGAACGGTCACTAAATGAACTGTTGTAAGATGAGGACTACCTATATAGCTTACTGCATACATGTAACCTTGTACTTTATCTAATGTCTAGCTTTGTGTGCAAGAAGGTATACTATAGAACAGGGGTCACCAACCTTTCAGACCTCAGGGATCACTAAATTCCTAAATTTTAAATCCCGTGGACCACTAATATGATCTGCCTAATGACCAGATGGGTGGGCGTGGCAAGGTGATCATATGACTGGGTGGGCGTAGCCAACTCAATCTCACGACGAGGTGTGCCACACTTGTCTCTATTCGCCCCTCCCCTCCCAGCCACTCCTTGCCTTCCTACCTGGGCTCCTTAGGGCCCCAACAGGAAGCAGTTGTTAGAGCTAAGCAGCCACCATGAGAAAGAGTTGCAAAACAGCAGGCTCAGTTCAAATTGGATCTGACCAAGAACGAGATTCAGCAGAGGCACCTCACTGAGGACTACGAGCATAGGCTTTCCAAGCAGAAGGAAGACCTGCGGGAGTGCAAGGCCAGGTGTGCAAGGCACCTGGAGGCTCAGAGGGCTGAGATGGTCAGCCAGTTCCAGGCCATGATGCAGTCCCACTGGAACAAGGCCCTCTGGCTCTTTGCCACCTTCCTTCCAGCCTTCGCTCAAAGCCCTGCACCAGGAGGCTGAAGCAGACCCCAAGTTCGAATTTCTGGCCCCCTTTGACCTACACAAAAAGACCCCGAAGGGGGAGACTCTGCAGCAACACAAATGTTCATTGCATGTATCTGGCCCAGGGGCCGTAGTTTGAAGACCTCTGATTTAGTGTAATATAAAAAATGCAAATAATTTTTCTGCAGACCACCAAAATTTTCTCAAGGACCACCAGTGATCCACGGACCACCAGTTGGTGACCGCTGCTATAGAACCCAACATATACGTGCATATAAGCCATAAATCGTACTTTCCCCATAACAAAGATTTTAAAAAGATAGTTGTGAACATTTTTCTTACTATGTGTAGCCTAAGCTTGGTTATACAGATATATGGAAACATATATGGAAACAGTGCGGCATGTTTTGTGTGTTGTGACCTCAGAGGCAATGGATCCTGCTTATCCAGGCAAATCAATGATTTAGGCTTAGCCATTGGCCTGTGTGAATGGTAGTGGACCACAGGTAGGTAGGAATTGTGGGGACTTGAACAGATTTGCTGAAACCTACTATTGGGAAGGAATATATAAAACTTGTATCATGCTTTGCATTACTGGAGGCTTGCACTAGATATAAAAATGTGTCCATTTATGAATTAATGATTTAAGATTAACAATTTAATTTGTTTTCTTTTGAGTCTTTTAAAAATGTTTCAGATTAGCACCAGAAATAGAATCAAAACCACCCTGGTGAGGATATTCACATATTTTAATATATGATGGTCTGGTTATTTCAGAGTTCACAAATGATTTAACAAAATATTTTTTTTTAGGCTACAACTTTACCCGATGAATATAAAGAAGGAAAGATTCATGCCTACAAACTGATATGTGCTATGATGACAAGACGTCAAGACTTTATGCCAAATCCTGACTATCTGGTGCATTTTTATCTTATCATGCACATTGGCTTAAATAATAAAGATCAGGTATTAATGAGATAGTTCTAATTTTAAAACTGAATTGCACTAATTAATACAATTTGTATAATTTGGATCATAAGAAGTTTTGTAAATGAAAGGAAATTCTGAAGTGGATTGAAATGAGGCTAAGGGGAAAAATGAATAGAGAAAAGACAAATAACATTTTTTCCAACATAGGATACAGCCTTTAATAGAAGGGCTTTCAACCTCAATCCATTTTCACTTCATTTCTTACCGAAACCTGGTCGTTCTAGATATCCCTAGAGCTTTTGGTTGCTAAGGAGATTTTAGTTCTTTTCCAGAAACAGCAGTGCTTCTTCAGTCTCACTTTGCCTGGAGAAGCCAAAATGGGTTTCCACAAGCAACGAAGAAACACAAAGCCTATAATTTTGTGAGAAGGTTAAACTGATGGGTCTAGCCATTTGTCAGAACTATCTAACAATCACAGAAGTTTTCTGGTTTACTTATTATTTGTTTGATTTTATTCATGAGAGGATTGCCAAATTCATTTTTTTTAAGATTACAACTTTAGCAGATGAATGTAAAGAGAGAAAGATTTAAGTGTGTTACAAACTTTGAGAAAGCCAGTCTTAGATTATAGAGGTGTCAAAAGCATCTGATTGAATTCTTCTGGATGATTTCCAAGTTTTAAGGCCTAAAGGTGTGAACTAGATACTTGACATTGCTCAGCAAAAGACCTGCCCAGTTATTCTTTACCCATTACAATTTATTCAGAAATTCTGCCTTATTCAGATATAAGATATTTGAATATCAGATATATTATACAACTAAATATCTCTGTTCATGAGAACCAATTATAATTTGTGGTGGTGGGAACTTTTACAGGGTTTCTTCCTGGGAGTACCACAAAAGGATCCTAATGCTTTTTTATTATGCTTCCAATTACAGATTTAGAGTGGTTAATTTCAATGCTTTGCACTTTCTGTTAACTAGTTGATCAATCCATTTTTTTTTAATAAAATAAAACAGTTTTCCATTCATGCAAAAGAGAGCAAGAGCTATATGAAAAGACCAGGGGAAGGGGGTCAACACCTAGGAAAGAAGCAGAATCAGTTGGAACCATCCAGCAGAACACAGCATTTTACGCTGCCTCCCCCAATGTACATCAGCACACCCTATATTGCTTGCACACATCTTGAAGCAGGATTTTAGGGAAAACACAATTTTCATGCATTTTTAGCTCCCCTGCAGTTTAATACTGAATTACAGCTAGAGGCATGTGAACATGTGCTTGGGAAATGGTTAGTGAGCTATCCTTGCCATGGTTAGTGAGCTATCAGGGCAAGATTTGATTTTGGGCTTGGCAAAGTATTGTAGTTTTCTTGGAAATGAGAAGGGAGTAGAAGTAAAGAAGCTGTAATTGGAACCAATTATTGCTAATTTGTGTAATCCCCTCAGTATTATATGTAATGTAATCTTTAGTAAGAATAGAATGCTCAGCTGGATCTAGGAGTTATAAATTTGGTCTTACAGAGAATGATCTTAGCTTCATTATAAGAAATCCCACGAGAGCATTCCTAAAAAAATGGATCCTGTGAAGATCTGAATAAATATAAGTAGAATGGATTTGATTTACATCAAATTGATTTAATTCATAATTTAATTCACTAGTCAGGGAGAGCCAATTTAATGTTTAAAATCAATTCATTTACCAAGAATATTTTGCAATCATCATTTCTAGTAAAAGTGCTTGTTTGGTACAGTATGAATACAATGGTTTATTCATGTATGTGTGTGTATACAATTTTTGTCAGATTTTTAAAAAATCATTTTATATAGAATTCAGAATATTAATAACTTAGCAGTTATTAGCTAAGTTATGTAGTTGTGAAGACATTGGGAGATGAAGCACTTCCAGTTGAATTATTTGTGGATATTTGAGGAATACATTTGCTATGTTATAACAGCATAATCCCCAGCTGCTTTTAAATTGGCTTGTTCTGACTAATTTTCTTCAGCAAACAATAAAAATAGATTATTACTTAAAATGTGCACTTCTCATTTAAAGTACATTTTGTTAAAGTAAAGAATAGGCAATTTCAACCAAGTCAGCACAAGACATTGAAAACTTTGGTGAATGGCAAATAAAGTGTCATTTGTTCTTTTTTTTTCAGTCTGGCAAATAAGAAAGACAAATTATCTTGCTTTTTCAGTTTCCAAATTGCTTTGCAGTTTTCAGTGAATTATTCCAGAGGAAGAGAACACTCTTTGTAAACCAACAAAACTAATTGCCGCTCTTACAATTTGAATTACTCCTTTAATGATTTCTGAATCCAAATGTTTAAATTTCTTACTTAAGCTTGCTTTGTTGACAATCTCATGCTCAAACATGCATATATGGATTGGATCACTCTTAATCCCATTTGGTCTAATAATGAAGGCATCAGGCTAGAAACCAAGAATTGGAATAACAGACTTGGAAGGTAACATGTAGGTCATCTAGTCCAACTCCTGGTCAAGCAGGAGACCCTATACCACTTCCAGTGATGAAGCTCCCACAACTTCTGAAGGCAAGCTATTCCATTGGTTGATAGTTCTCACTGTCAGAAAATTTCCCCTTATTTCTAGGCTGAATCTCTCCTTGATCAGTTTCCATCCATTATTCCTTGTCTGGCCTTTATAGTTGATTTTTTTTACAGTTTACCCTAGAATTGCAAAGTTTAGTCTCACCTGAGGCATGAAAAATCAGCCCGGTGACTTGGGCAAGTCACTCACTCTCAATCTACCCCACCCCACCGGGTTGTTTTTGTAGGGAGCTGGTATCAGTTGGTCCAATAAGAAATAAGTCATTGCTTCTGTTATATAAGAACATACATGGAAGTAAGTGTAAATATTGCTGTATCCATCAAGATTCAGAACAACATTTTCCTCTATGGATTATTTGTACATTTCTTACTTTCTCCTTTATACACTACATTCAACACTTAACAGAAAAAGAGTTGGAAAGGACCTTGTAAATAATCTAGTCCACCCACTGCCCAAGCAGGAGACCCTACACCATTTCTGACAGATGGCAGTCTAGTCTCTTCTTGAAAGCTTTCAGTGATAAAGCTCAGACAACTTCTGAAGACGACACTGTTCCATTGATTGAGTGTTCTCACTGTCAGAAAAATTCTCCTTATTTCTAGGTTGAATCTCTCCTTGATCAATTTCCATCCATTTCCTTGTTTGGCCTTCTGGTGCTTTGGAAAATAGGTTGACTCCCTCCTCCTCTGTGGCAGCGCCTCAAAAATTGGAACACTGCTATTATGTCTTCCCTAGTCCTTCTCTTTATTAGACTAGCCATGCCCAGTTCCTGTCACCATTCTTCATATGTTTTAGCCTTCAGTCTTCTAATCATCTTTGTTGCTCTTCTCTGCACTTTTTCTAGAGTCTCAACGTCTTTTTTATAATGTGGTGACCAAAACTGGATGCAGGATTCTAGGTGTGGTCTTAATAAGGCTGATATTAGTACCTCATGTGATCTTGATTGACAGGTGTTCTCTTACCATTCTTTTTTCTTCTTTTTATTTCTAGTCTGTCTTTTACAATTGTGTTTTGGGTAGGTTAGCTATAGTTTCTTTTTGCATGAAGATCAATGCAAAGAATGAGTTAAGCAGCTCTGTTTTGTCTCTGCTGCCTGTTACTTCCTTGCTGTCTTCTCTCTTTAGTGGACCTACGGTTTCCTTGATTTTTTTCTTGTTATTTATATGTTGAAAGAAACTTTTTTTTAAACTTACCTTTGACTTTTGTTGCAAGTCTTTGTTCCCTCTGAGCCTTTGCTTTCCTAACTTCATCTTGCAGATTCTGGCTATCTGCTGATATTCTGCCTTAGTTGTGTGTCCCTCTTTCCATTTTTTGTACTTGTCCTTTTTGTCCTTTAGTTTAACAGAGAGATGTTTGTGCAGCCATGCTGGTTTCTTCTTGGATTTCTTGTTTTTCTTTTTCAGTGGTATTATGCTGGACTGGGCTTTTATGATCATGTTTCATCACTTCATTACATTTATATCCTATCTTCCTTTCAGGTGCTCAAGGTCGTATACACCAGCACTTCTTTCAAGTTTTCTACCAAACTTCTATGAGATAGGTTGGACTGAGACAAAGTAATTGTTCCAAATCTCTCAGGGACTTCACTGAAAATGGCTCTTCTCTGTTCTAGCCCAACAAGTTAGCACATACAATGTCTTCCTTGCAATATTTTCATACAATGTTTTCCTTGCAATAACTTTCCTATTGGGTCAATCAGATTCTGGGTAAGGGATTGTATATTGTTCATAAAATATGCCTTCCAACCATGCAGAAAGGTTGAAATATAAACAAACCAAACTTTTTAAAAACTTGTTTCTACTTTTATACAGTCTAATTGGTTTCTGTTATAGAGATGTAAATGTCTAGTTCTGTGTCTTTCTTTTATTTTTTTTGTCTCCTTGCTTGCTATATATGATACGTTTGGGTTTTTTACTTATATGATGTGGATTATACTGTTATTAGATAACTATGACATCTTGCATTTTTAAGATCTTCCTAAATAGAAGCCATCAGCTCATTTAGCATATTGACTTTTTGTTTAGTATGACTGAATGCAAGCAGCAATAAAAATTAGTACTAAAAGGAATATTTATATTTTATTGTAAAAAAAATATTAAAAATAATGTAAGATATACTTTATTGATTAATCAATTATAATTGACCATATCAAACATGAGAATCAGCCACAATAAAATACAATAAAATGAGATAAGAGATAAGTATGATAAAATAGCTATGATGAGATAAAATAAAATATAGTAGGTAATATAAAGTGTAAATAAAAAATATGATAAAATAGTATAAGGTAAACTAGCAGAAGAACAGAATTTTATTAAGTTGGTTGACTGTGTCAAATATTAAATGTAATAACTGTCCAAACATGAAAATTCAAATTTCGACTATTAACATGGCTTCCATTTCTAAATAAATTTTTATAGCTATCAAATACATGCTGGCAAAGTGTTTTATTATACCCT